AAAAGGAAAGGTGTTCACAGGGGCCTGATTGATTTCTCGTGGCCAGAGCATCCTAAAAGCAAAGGCAAAGAGGCAATGCAAAGTAGTCTCAGAGCTATGTTCCTTTGATTCTTTCATATTTTAGGGGAGTAGGAAGGCATAGAGGAAAGCAAGAAACCAATAAAGATTGAAGGGAATGGAGACAACCGAGAGGACAGTAATCTCCCCAACCCCCACCCCACATTAATTAGTCATTTATTCCTCCAATCACCAGCAGTTGTAATTCTCAAGGTCATTTCCACTAACTGTAATAATTTTTTTTTGGCAAAGAACTTAATCCAAATCTAGAATAATTAGTGGTTGTGAGGTTTGCATTAGGACTAGCAGCTTAAAGAGACTGCAGCTCCTCTGTGGGCTGGGCAGTGGAGAAGAAAAGGGGAAGAATGGTCAACAGAAAAAGATGGTGGTGGTGGAAGGAAACTGGCTGGCCTGCACGTTTGGAAGAAAGAACAACAGAAAAGGGGTATTAGAGAGCTGATGTGTGGCTCTAAATCTCTAACTTCCTTTTCTCTTAACACTCAACTTCTCTCTAGAGTCAACATTCATGTTTCCCATACTTTTCTCAGCTTTGCACTCAATGCCATGATAGCTCTGAGTACCCCAGTCCCCAGAAGTCCTACTCTGCTTACAGTGATGGGTGGAGAAATGTGTTCCTGGAACCTCACATAGAACAGTCAGTGGATGTCCTATCCTTCGAGAACACTGTGATTGGCCTAGCTCTGTGGGCTTGGGTCTGAGAGTTAAGGTACCATATGTAACGTTATGGGAGTTCCCAGCAACCAGCTGACAAACTTTGGGACTGCCCAGTGCACCATATGCTCTGAGGGGCAGGCATGGCACCTAATTGTCCAGGATTGCAATGCTGTTATTTTGTACTCTCCGGTGTGAGCTGCCCAGCTGGGACTAAGGGTTTGCTTTCCACTGGAGGGTGCTCTCCAGAACATTTTAGAGAGATGTGAGGAAGAAGCCAGTTCCTGTTTTAGTGAAACAAATTGCCAAGAAAGAAAGTTGTAGCAGCCAATACCTCCAATGATATGGATGTTCAGAAACGGTCTCTTTTCAGTGCTTTTTTATGACACAAGATACACACCAGGGTAAAGAATCAGTCTCCCTGCAAGCTACACTGCAAGTAGGGGGTGGGGGGAAGTTTCAAGAGCCCGAGACCTTCTGTTATTATTCCCATTATGCTCTGCTATTGGATAGATCTCCAGACATTCACCCACTGGGTGGCTCTCATGGTTGTCTCTAAGGATATCAAGATCTGCCCTTCTACCCTACCTTTGGCTGAGGGTTTCTCTGCTGGGGGCTCTCTAGCATAGGGACTGGGTAACGGGGGATAATCCAAGTCAGAAATTGAAGAAAATAGTTTGTTCTGTTTCCAGATGTGTTGGGGGGGGGCACTGAAAACAATGGAGGCCCGTCTAAGCTGACAATGGATGACACTAATGGAACCTGACAAATGAGGGGCAGTGAAAAGATGGAGAAAGTAGATGCATTATGAGCTAACTCCAGTTAAACAGCCCCTACTTCTAGTGGGATGCAGTGGCCAAAGGCAGAGGGAATTATGCGTTCTGTACACTAAGAGCTCCAGCTAATCGAAGATGTTCTGCTCCTTTCCTTGGTGGACAGATGTGTTCCAATCACAGGAATCTGAGATGAAAGAGAGTCAACTTCTTTGCTTGATAACCTCACCCACTCCTCCAGCCTGCCCCAGGCAGGGGAATAATGATCGGGTGGGGCTTTGGCTTAGATCAGGAGTGAGATCCCGCCTTGGTTCCTGCGGCAGTGGCAGTGGGTCTCATTTCATAAGCAGACCGGAGCACACTTAGTTAAAATGCACCATGTTCAGGCCAGGGACCAAACACTCTTGTCAGGCAAAGAGAGCCTCTGCAGACAACTGGTTGGAAGGATAAGTGGCCAGGACATAATAGCAGAGCACATGCAATACACATGGAGAAGTGCCAGGCCCTGAAAAACAGGGGACACTACACAGCAGGACACTATAGGACCTCTCATTCCTAAGGCCATTACCCTCTAGGTCAAGAGTGAGATCCAGAGGCAGGGGGTGCCGTGGATGGCCCAAAGTGAGGTCCAGTAGGACGATGGCGTGTGGAAGGCAATAATGATCAAGTCATCAAAATGGAGAGGGTGAGAAGGCACAAAAGCAATGTGAGACTTCCTCTGCAGGGTTACATAGCAACCCAAGGAGACAGAAAGTGCTGCTGAATTCCCAGCAGCAGGTGAGGCAGGGAACTCACAGCATTTTCCTCATCTCATTTAGAAGGCCTCACTTTGCGTCTTGTAGTCTATTCTGGGCCCCTCAATCACTTCCCTCTGTTAGGAGGATGTTTGTCAGTTAGAAGCCAAAGGAATAAAAACGACATTTATAGAGCCCAAGTTGGATTAAACATATGACTTGTTATGCAATATTTGTACCCCCCTACAGTCAGCCTCTTCCTTTCCCCAGGAAGGGCAGGATCAGGATCTAGTGATGGTGTGAATGTTGGGGGTGCCGGGAAGACAGCCAGGACGGGGAAGAAAAGAGTGAGCTTTCTCCTTCTCATTCCCGAGGTGTGTCGTAGAAGTCTCCCCAGTCACAGGGCAGGTATTAGGCATAATGGCAATTTGTAGGAGATCCAAATTGCTTTATATACACTGCCCGGTGAAGTACACAGCAGATATCCCACTACTTGTACTTAACATGGGGTAGCCCGGTGACTAACTGACTTGCTATGTTTGTAATGGCTACTCTCAGTTTCACGGGATACTAATAGTAATGCTGATAACCACAGCCAAAGCAGCCCCATTAGTACCTGCCATGTGGTGGACATTTCCAGTTTCGCAAACAGGGTTCATAACCCTCTTATTTGCCTATGTGATGGGCATTATGGCCCCCTTTTTATATAGGAGGACACGGAGAACAGAAGGACATGACTAGGTGATTCTAACTCAACCTGTTCAATTCATAAACCTCTTTTCCCAGTGCATTAAAGTCGAGCAGAAAATCGTGGAGGTATGCGTGAGCCTCGGAAAACAAAAATGAATTTGAATGTGTGGGGAGATCATTCACAGCAGGCATGAAATCTCCAAGCTCTCTCCTGAGGTGGCAGGATAAACTCCACGATTTTTGTCATTCACAGTGAAATTGGACAAATCCCTACAAAGCAGCTTGGGCTGGAGGGAAACGCTGGGACTGGGAAAGAAGGCAGGGGTTGTTGGAGCAGGTTGGGATGGACAGTGGAAGCCGCAGTGTGCCTGTTATTCCTGACCTGTAAAGAGCAAGGCCCCTTTGTGTGTACATTAGAACATTCTAGGTAATTTTTTTGAAGATTTTATTTATTTATTTAACACACACACACACACACACACATACAGATCACAAGTAGGCAGAGAGGCAGGCAGAAGGGGAGAGGAAAGCAGTCTCTCCGCTGAGCAGAGAGCCTGATGCGGGGCTCGATCTGAGGACCCTGAGATCATGACCTGAGCCAAAGGCAGAGGCTTAACCCACTGAGCCACCCAGGCGCCACTAGATATTTTTTTTTGAAAGAACATTCTAGATTTTGAGTACCTGATGTGGAAAGTGAGAGGAGATAAAAGGCACTTGAAGTGTTGAGACCATAGCATCAGTGCTGGCCACTAAGTACCCGGGACAATAGGAAAGTAGCTCGAGCAGGCTCAAAGCTTCAATTAAATTAGGTAGAGTGTGAGAGAGAAGGGGGACAATTGCAGGATGTGCCCAGCCATCTCCTCCCTAGGTGGGGACATCCACACATCCACCCTGGTGTGAATAACCTCCAGCTCTTTCCTTTTGAAGTCCCTTGAGACTGCATTGCATCGTAGCTATCTTGAGCATGAGAATGGAGCCCTCCCTCTGCAGCTACATAAATCAGAATACCCACTCCCATGTGCATCCTTCACACTTTCTTTATGATCAATGAACTCCCTTCTTTATGATTTCTTTTATGATCAATGGGCTCCCTTCTCCCCTGCTGAGATGATGGCTGAACAGTGTGGTTTACCTATGCCCATTTTTAATCTGTATTCGTTCCCAATCCTCTCACCATGTGATCTGTGCATTTGCCTATCTTCTCCACCGCGTCCTGCAGGGTTGAATGGTGTATCAATGTCATGCACAAATAGAAGGTTCATTTAGTGATGTTTCCGTTTGCATGCTTCTAAAGCCCCAGAACTGACATACTGCATCAAAGGAAATACAGCATCATGCCCTAGACCAATAGCAGAGTCCATGCTATGAGGCAGACGCAGCCCAAAGGCTCAGGTACAACAATAAAAATCTGAAATATTCAGTCAGTAGGTGATCAGATCATTACACTGTCATTAGGTTGTCATAATTATTGACTGCCAAGCAGCATTATAATAACAGAAGTTGTGGCTTTTACATTTTGTATCTCACCGGGGAGCAAATTAGTAGCCTACTCAGTCCATGGGCATCGAGTAAAAGCGGCTGTTGGGCAGAAGGGATCCACTTCTATTAATATCTCTGGGCAAACAGTTTGATAGAGCCATGGACACTTCCCTAGTGGAAAACGGAAATTTATATGACATTGTTGCACAGAGACTTGGAAATGATAGCTGTGAAAAGGCCTTTAAAAAAAAAAATCAAAGTCTTATTTTGGTTCTTAAAACACAAACAAAACATTGAAGGTGATAAAGTGTGTGTGTGTTTTTTTTTCTAGAAACAGGCTTTATTAGAGAGGTGAGTATATATATATTTGAGAGGCAGAATCATGTTTATATTTAGGTATATGTAAATCGACGAATAGGCATTTAGGAAACTAGGCTAACAACATGTTTTCAGGAATTTATAATGAAATTGTGATGGTTTTTATTGCAGCTCCTCCTGATTTTAGCAGACAGTCCACACGTGTGGGAACGCTGAATGGTCTGATTGAATCTGGGAGTAACCTCGCCCCCCATCCCCCCATCTTTTTTCTTTTCAGAACTCTCGTTGCTCTTCGAGGCATCAAGAAGCCAAGATGTTGGTATTACTGGCTGGTATCTTTGTGGTCCACATCGCCACTTGCATCATGTTATTTGTCAGCACCATTGCCAACGTGAGTAATACGTTCTTTTGTTCATTCATTCACCCAGAAGTTATCTGAATATTTACATAAGTTACTACAAAAGAAGTTTGAGCCACAATCCCTGCCCCTCGGGAATATGCAGTTTAGTCGTGGGGGAAAAAAAAAAACCCAAACCCAAAACCAAAAAAAGAACCCCAACACCCACTGGCACTTCAAACAATGAAATAGCAGGAGGAGAAAAGCCCGTGTCTACCAAAGGGATCCCGCCACGGCTGGAGGTGGCAAGGTGCTGGAGAAGACAATGAGGCTTCTTCAGTCTCTGGCAGAACCTTCTCCGAGGTGGAGCTGGGGTGGGGGATGGGTAGGTGGGCGGGTTTCTTGGCGGAGGATGAGTCGCGGAAGGAGCAGAGGGGTGCATTCCAAGCAGGGGTGCTAGCCAGGATGCCTCGGTGAGAGGGAGAGGCTTTGCTCTGGCCAAACGGTGGTCAGCACCACCCCACCACCCTCCCCCGGGGCGAGAGCAGAGCTTCCTTTCCTTCTGGGAACCCTGATTAGAAGGATGGAGGGGAGAGGGACGACGAGAAGCTTTGGTTGCCAGACCGACACGCTCGAATTCTGAGCCGACAGGAGCGTGTGAAGGTGGAATTGTGCCAGATTAACCTGGTTCCACGGAATTCACTCACTCTAGCAAAACAATGCAAAAATATTTTTCTCTGAAGCTTGGGCTGCTCTGACCTCTAGCGGCCGTTTGTAGCATCAGAGTGGCTTTTATTGTGCTTTTCTCGGAAAGAGGCAAGACCGATCCCGGCCCGCAAAAATCAAGGCCACCCATCATAGGGCGGCAAACGGTGGCTCCAGAATCTGTTTGGGTCCCTGTTACAGTTACAGGACAAATGGGTTTTGAAGTTCAGATAAAAGAGTTTTGCTACCGTTGGTGGATGTGGTCAGCACGAGCAAGGCTGCCCGTGAGCCCTCCTCCAGAGTGCAGGTCAGCCATTCGGTTCCCCACCCCCCAGGGCTCTCAGGGTAACAAGCCTGGTCAGTGACTTCACACTGCATCAGTGGTTCCCAGAGGGCTGAGTATCTGAATTATCAGCCCCTAGTACCGGGCTTGGCATACCATTGTTTATTGAATCAAGAGCAGGTGATCACACATCCTGGGCCCTGTCCTTCCAGCAGTGCTCATTCTAACGGGTGTTCTGGGTGCTTGTCTTCAGAAGAGTAAGTATTTTTGTTGGGCAGGGTGGGAAGGGACATTGGCATCACAGCAAGCCTTGGGGAATACATGTTGGTCACTCTTCTTTCAGGGGCCCCCACGTCCTTCCGTTGGATGGAAGTGGCTTCTTTTTTTTTTTTTTTTTTAAAGATTTTATTTATTTATTTGACAGAGATCACAAGGAGGCAGAGAGGCAGGCAGAGAGAGAGGAGGAAGCAGGCTCCCTGCTGAGCAGAGAGCCTGATGTGGGGCTCCATCCCAGGACCCTGGGATCATGACCTGAGCTGAAGGCAGAGGCTTTAACCCACTGAGCCACCCAGGCGCCCGGAGATGGAAATGGCTTCTTGACACCAAGACTCATTTCTGTTTCCTTCGTTGTCCACGTTTCCTAGTTGCCTCCAGTTGAGCGGTTTTTTCCTTCTTCTTTTTTTCTAACCCCCTTAGGCTGTTACATGAAACGGTCTTTTTAAAAAGATCTTATTTATTTATTTGAGAGAGAGAGAGAGACAGAGAGAATGAGCATGAGCAGGGGGGAGGGGCAGAAGGAGAGAGAGGAGCAGACTCCCCGCTGAGCAGAGAGCCCCCTGTGGGGCTGGATCCCAGGACCCCTAGATCATGCATGACCTGAGCAGAAGGCTGACGCTTAACCAGCTGGGCCACCCAGGTGCCCCTAAAACGGTCTTGAGAGAGCGAATGGATGGTACATACTTAACACCAATTGTTCATTCTGTGTTTCTGTTTTTTAGAACCTCAGAATTTTAAACCACTATGATTTAATTACTTCCTTTTTGTTGTTGTTAAGTAAGGAGGAATGTGAAGCCCAGAGAAACTGTGTGATTTTTCTTCAGTCACTCAATCTTCCACCTTTTCTCTTGGGACCTCTGTGGCTTCTGTTTTTGTCAGACCTCATTTCCACAAAGAGGTGGGGGTGCTTAGCCTTATTTGAGGCTCAATGTGGGGTGTTGCTGAAGATTCGATCCTGACCCAAATCTGAGTTGCTATTTCTTTTCCTTTCAAAGCAAAGGGTCAACTTTTCAACCATGGCTTGTTTCCTTTTGGTTTCAGGTCTGGGTGGTTTCCGATGATAGACAAGGATCAGTCGGTCTTTGGAAAAACTGTACCGTTGGTGGCTGTGATTACGTGCTGTCATATGCCAGCGAAGGTATGTCTTAGGGGACTGTGTTCAGTACTGACATTCGGGTGGTCAGGGAAACGTGCACCCTGCCAGGGACCACTTAGCCTAATACCCTTCTTCTCCTCTTCCTGTGTCCACAGATGCCCTCAAGGCGGTGCAGGCCTTCATGATCCTCTCCATCATCTTCTCCGTCATCTCCCTCGTGGTCTTTGTGTTCCAGCTCTTCACCATGGAGAAGGGAAACCGCTTCTTCCTTTCCGGGGCCACCATGCTGGTGTGCTGTGAGTATCCTAGGGGCAGGATCCTGTGTATGGCGGCCTTACCATGGGCACTCCTGGCACTTTGGACAGAGGAGCACCCGGCTCAGTGAAGCTGTATTGGACAATTTTCTCCTCTGCTTGTTTGTTCTCTTTTTGAGAACCTCTGCTGGAGCTTGGAATTAGTACTGTCCTGTGCTTTAAACACGCTGCCCTATTTAAACCTAGTGCTCCTGGGGGTGGGGTGGGGCGACCAAGTGGCCGGGCCCATTGCATGCCCTTGTACAGGAGACTCTTGAGGACAGGGAGGTGGGTGTCCTTAGACAAAGCCACTGCCATAGTGCGTGCCCGAGTTCCTGTTCTCATCCTTCTGTTGGTCTTCCCCAGCACCCATAACTGGGTGAAAGGCTGTGTCGTTTTACACCCTGGGCAGCCCGCCTACATAGGCTGAGGTCTAGAAGGAAAAGCCGGGTGGTGGACGTGAAGTTCTCTGTTTTACTTCGCACTTGTAGCTACACAAACTGGTGTGGGTATGGGAGCCGAAACACCTCAGGTTTTATCAACACAACCATCAAGGTTGGTTCAAGGCCAATGAACAGAACTATCCTATGGGGCTAAACAGCCAGATTTTATTTTCCCAGTAAAATTTCCTTTTACTATGAGGGAAATTGAATCTTTTAAAAGTTACACAATTTTTTCTTGATTTTAATAGAAAAAAAAACCAAAAACAAAAAATGAGGTCTTTTTTTTTTTTCTCCTTGTAGGGTTGTGTATTATGGTCGGAGTGTCCATCTATACTCATCATTATGCCGGTGGTTATGGGACCAGCTACTCCAAAAGTCACCATGGCTACTCTTTCATCCTGACCTGGATCTGCTTCTGCTTTAGCTTCATCATTGGCGTGCTCTATCTAGTCCTGAGAAAGAAATAAGGCCAAAGGAGTTCATGGGGATCCTGGGGCAGGGGGTGGGGAGAAGGAAGCCGTTGAATCTGGGAGGGAAGTGGAAGATACCACGCAGGAAAACCCAAGGGGGGGTGGGGAGGGGAAGGAGGGTGGGAGAGGCTGGAAATCCAAACCATTCCTGGGAAGGTTCTCTACCATGGAGCTCCTGCCCTAGGGAGGGAGTAGTTGGCTACTCTCTGCTACTCTCTCAGCTGGAGAGCCTCTCTCCAGCCACCAGACTTGGCCTCCAGCTGTTCTTAGTTACACACACTGCCTGGGGACCCACCAGCTGCCGCACCACTGGCTCCACTCCTGAGGCTGAACTCTGGGTCTCGCATTGCGGTCCTCAGACATATTGCATCAAGTTAAAATAGCGGTACAAGTTCCAGCAAGCACAGATCTTGTTTTTGTGTTGATTGTGCTAAGCCTGGAAGCCATCCCGCCTTTCTGACCCAAAGCAGAACATCACATTCCAGTCTGAAGGGCCTGTAGGAGGGGGCTTTGGCCTGTGAGCCATTAGCCCTCTTTAGAACAGATATTTAACTCTGTGGAACTCAGTGGTATTTGTGATGAAATGGGAGAAAGACATAGAGTCCTAAGGCCAAGTTGGTGGGTGAGTTAAACCAAGAAGGAGGACTTTTCCCAGGGGAAGGCCTGGGGGCTGGTCAGAACCCAGACTGGACCTCACACAGTTGTCCCTCACAGAGAACTCCTGTTGTGGACTTTGTTAGGCCTCTTGCTTAAAGCCAAAGCAGCTCTTTTGGCATTTCTGTAGCCACTCATGACCAGTTCTGTGGTGAAAGCACCACACAAATGATGAGACCAAGGGGCAGTCTCATGACAGTGCTACAGTAGGGTTGTTTTTAGGATCCCCTGTTCATGCAATCAGTGTTTCTTTTAAGCACATACTGGGAGAGAGATGGACATGGCTTCTTATAACATGATTTATTACTCTCTTTCTCTCCCTCTAAATTATAACTTTGGAGGACGTTTTTCCTAAAAAAAAAAAAAAAATTATCCACATTGGGGATCAGAACTCCTAGTCTCAGTGGTAGCTCTCTCTCTGACATGGGCTGGAGCCATTGCCTTTCAGAGGCCCTGTCTATCCTGCAAGTGAGGCAGGGCAATTCTGGAAGCTTAGTAAAACACACACAAACCAAAACCAAATAGATCCTTGGGGGAAAGGTGCTATATAATTGTAAAGTATTAAGCATACTAAATTTCAGTCATGATTAGAACAGAGTGCCTGCATTCCCAGGAAAATTAGAAAATTCCCATGAGACAAATTAAAACATAGGTGATAGACACATATTTTCTTTAAGGGAAAAAATAAAAAGCAAAAACTCCTGTGGTTCCAAGTCAGTTGGCAATTGGGTTGTGTGTTGCCATAGGAGCATTTCTATATAGGACTTAGTAGATGTATGTTATTCCTGGGGAAGCAGGCATTGCTCTGGCCTGGAGCAGATATTTTAAGCCATCTCAGATTCTGTCTAAAGGGGTCATTTTGGGAAGATACTTCCTTTATTACCAGAGAAGATTTACCCCAGGGGGAATGTGAGACATCTTGCCTACTTTTCCTTCTCCCAGCTCTCTCCTTATTCCATTCCTTACACACTTTTCCTTTCTGGGGAGTTGTCATGCCATGATTGCTGGTATTTATGTAAAAGGACTATGACTAAATATATTGCTCTATGTTCATTCTGGTTAAGGGAATATTGAGGACAGGCCACCAGATTACACGGGCTGGGGGTAGAGAGAAGGCAAGCAAGAACTGTGGGATGATGAACTTTTAAATATGATTTAATTATCACATGATTATAGAAGGCTGTCTTATGTGCAGAAGCATACTTACATATCAGATATACTCAAAAGAGATACTCGCATTATGTTGAAAAGTCAAACTATGACTGGAGTGAACCATGTATTCCCTTGTCTTTTACTTTATTTCTGTGACATTTATGTCTCATGTAATTTGCATTACATTGGTGGGTTGTTCTAGTACTGTATTTGGCTTCTCCTTTAATAGATTGATATTTCATATACTATAAATGTAAATATTTTGATACAAATGTTTATAACTCTAGGGACATAAAAGTAGATTCTGATTCCCTTCACTGTGTGAATGTTTTCTTCCTAAAAAAATGCAGGACAGTAGGGATAATAGTGACACTTATACTTAACGAAGTTGTCGATCAGTGCGATTTGAACAACTTGGCATTTATTTGAGACATTAAACTACTTTCTGATAATACATTAGCCATTCTACAAAAACTCTTTCAGGCAAATGAATGTTATTAGGTATAGTTTTATCTTAACATTAATTAAACCTCTAAAGCAAAAAATAGAACTTCATAAGCTACATCAGGGAGATGTCATGGTCTTGAATCAGCATGACTTATAACATTAAGAAATGAGATACTTGAAAAGTTTCTTTGAGATAGCCAATTCCTCTAATGTGTCTTCAAAATATAAAGCAATTTACAAAGGTATGCATCACATACATACCTTTGCAAAAACCCATTCATTGCATAAACTGGGCATATTTCTATGTGACAGATGAGAAAAGGAAAGCTTTAATGCTTTCCGTGAGCAATAAGGACTGGAATTAACAATAGAAAAGCAGAGTAGACACTGTATACCCTAGCACTATGTCAACACTAATATCATACAAATGGTTTTAACGTGGTTTGATGCTATGTCAGACCCCTGTGGTTTTGGATGAAATAACTGCACAGAGTAATACACAAAAAATACACAATGGAACCTGAGAATAAAACTTTAACATATTTTAATGTCAATTAATCAAATTGTATTGATTATTGATACCCTCTCAGAGACCTATGTAATTTCTTAGATCGCTTCTGGCATACTATCACAAAAAGCTACTTCTCACCTTTAGTTCTTCCTAGGATTCATTCTCCCATGTCATTTGCCTGGTAGTGGATCAGACCTCCAGAGGATCCTTTCTTTCTTTCCTTCTATAGATCTTTAATCAGACTCTCCAACAACTCTCCTCTGCCAGGATGAAATCTTCTATCTCAAAGACCTGGATAGTGAACGAGGGTGTATTACTTAGGATTCTCCACAGAAACACAACCATTAGGAGGTGTACATTATATACAGAAAGACATTTACTTTTTTAAAATTGGCTCACATAATTATGGAGGCAGGCAAGTTCAAAATCTTCTGGAAGGATAGGGCTGGCAGGCTGGGACCCAGGGAAGAACCATTGCTGCCATTCAAGTCCAAAGAATGTCTGCTGGCAGAATTGTCCCTTGTTTACGGGGAGGAGGTGCTCACTCTTTTGTTTTATTCAACTGATTGAATGAAGCCCACACACATAGAGGGCAATGTGCTTTACTCCAAGTCCACTGTTCTGAATGTTAATCTCATCCAAAACACCCTCACAGAAACATCCAGAATAATGTTTGGCCACATGTCTGGTCACCATAGCCCAGCCAACATGACAAATGAAATTAGTCGTCATGGGGGAAACATTCCAATTACGAATAAGGCACTGGCTTACCAAACATTTCCAGAAATAATTTAAAAGAAGCTTAAACAGTGGAAACCTTTATGTTTACAATTGATACTTAACTTGAATAATGAAATAGTTAAGACATGGGTGTTAACCTGAAAGATGATCTTGAATATCTATGAAAAGACAGGAAGTTGTCAGAATCTCTTATAGGGAAACTTCTTAGGTAGAGTTAAGTTGAATTAAGGTGTTTAAGAAGATACTCTTCGGTGAAACCGGTCCAAGTTTATGAAGATAGGAAAGATGAGCTACAGAGCTCTCCATTACCACTTAAGAATGGGATTTGCAGGCAAATGAAACTTATTTATTCGTCAAAGTGATAAACGTGAGGTGCCAAATGGTTAACAGGCAGCTATACCCCCTGTGTTGGACTCAGCCATTATAGTCTCTGTGCGAAATCCCACTGGCTTTGAGGCACAGAAGAGTATTTCAGCAGGGCCTTGAAGGAAGGCATATGAAAACTAAGAGGATATTGTGCAGGATTCCACCCTTAAAAAGAGACGCTCTCTCTCATGTTTACTAATAGTCAGAATATACCAGAATACAGATAAAATTCCCTAGAAAAAATGTGTACATGAGTTTTAAAAAAAGACTAGATTTTAGGGACTAGAGAGGAATGAGGTAGAGTGGTGGGAGGCAGGATGAAAGAAGAAAACTTGCTGGAAATTTTGGAGTAGATTCTGAAGAGGATTGATTCATTTTATTTTTTTTTTTTAATTTTTATTTATTTTTATTTTCTAAAAAAGATTTTATTTATTTATTTATTTGACAGGGACAGATCACAAGTAGGCAGAGAGGCAGGCAGAGAGAGAGAGAGAGAGAGGGAAGCAGGCTCCCTGCTGAGCAGAGCTCCTGATGCGGGACTCAATCCCAGGACCCTGAGATCATGACCTGAGCCAAAGGCAGCGGCTTAACCCACTGAGCCACCCAGGTGCCCAGGATTGATTCATTTTAGAGAGGTACTTGCGGTCCAGGAAAGCAAGCAGCTCTTGATCACAAAGCTGGTAGAGAAGGAGGTATGCTGATTAGGAGGAGCCCAAGGAAAGTAGTGTTTTGGAGTTCTCCTTATTCTTGTTTCTGAAAGGGAGACATGTGGGGCCTCCTCATGAGGTAGGAGGGTGGTACATTAAAACTTGTAATGATAAACTACTGGGTGCTAGCTACTGCACCTAGAGGCTAGGGAATGAAAGATCAAGCAGACATGTTTCCTGTCTTCATCTAATTTATAGTCTAGCCTGGGTGTAAGACTCATACCTAGAGAAAATGGAAGAAGACCCTGCGGGAGCACAGAGGAGATGGGAGGACCGGCACATGGGGGAGGATAGAAGATTTTCAGGTCTTCATCCCTTCTTCATGGTCCTTATCCCACTCCATGAGTAATTAGCTGACAACCCTTATGGATTTTACCTCTGCTGCTTCTCTTACTTACCCAAATCTCCCTGCCCCAAAGGCCATTGCTTTTTTCCAGGCTCTCTTTGCCTTCCATAACTGCAGGAGAGAAACATCCCAATGTCCTCCATGTCTTCACCTACTCTCTCCAACCTCTTCCTTCTCCATCACAGGAAGCCAATTCAGGGCCTGGAGGGTCAGAATTCCCATGTAAGATGCCAATGTTTATGGGAGGTTCATACTCAATCTTCAGTTAACTGATGACGATCAACAAGGGCTATAGAGTGAGTCCCAAATCAAGAATGACTGTCTTCATATGGCAAATTAAGGACTTTATTATATTAAGAGATAAACTGAATAAGGGGTGGGGGGTGGGGAAACAAAAACAAACTATTGAGCCCTTCCCAGTATAGGAATGTTTCAGGTTCTAAAAGCCATTTTCCTGAGCTGTTTATTGGTTAAACTCAGAGTATATTTTTCCATAGATGCCATTCAGAATCATTTTGCTTATGATATGGCTAAAAGACTTTTGTAATCTAGCCTGGAAATAAGTTCAATAATTATTGAACTATTATTATTTACAATGGGAATGAGTTAGTTTAAATTCTGGAACATAGAGCCTTCTGTTACCTTTTTAAAAAATTAATTAACTATATTTTATTTAAACAAAAATTTTAAATTAACATATAATGTATTGTTTGCTTCAGGGGTACAGGTCTGTGAGTCATCAGTCTTACACAATTCACAGCACTCACCATAGCACATACCCTCCCCAATGTTTATAACGCAGCCGCCCTATCCCTTCCCTCCCTTCCCCCTCCAGCAACCCTCAGTTTGTTTCCTGAGATTAAGAGTCTCTTATGGTTTGTCTCCCTCCCAGATCCATCTTATTTCATTTTTTACCTCCCTGTCCCCCGCAACCCCTCGCCCTGTCTCTCAAATTCCTCATATTAGAGAGATCATAATAATTGTCTTTCTCTGATTGACTTCTTTTGCTTAGCATAATACCCTCTACTTCTATCC